GGACCAGCAATTCCATCCCTAAGCGGCACAGTCATTAATCATGATGTCACATGACCATTTGGCTGTGAAGGTCGCAAATGGCAATCCTGTGACCATGGGGATGCTGCCATGGCCACAAGTTCGAGGACTCGTCATAAGTCCCCCTTAGTCAGCAGTGTTGCAACTTAGAACAGTTGCTGAACGAGGCAGTTGGTAAGTGAGCACTACCTGTACAATGAGAGCAAAGGATATTACTTCTACTAATGTTTGTAATCAGTTCAGGGTTCAGTGGCTTTCTGAAACTTTGGAGAGCAGACATGATCCCAAAAATGGCACTAGAAAAGCAATCATTTTCCTAAAGCGAAGTCTGTAAAAAGATTTGGAAAAAACCAACAGCTGCTACATCCTTCAGCAATGGCCAGTTTGCCCTGAGGCTGCTGTGATGTGCACTTCAACATCTGGATCCCCAGCTGTCCTGTTGAATTGTTTGAATACACCATCATGTAGAATTACCAAGATTCCACTCCAATAGGGCACCGTTATAAGTGCGTAGACAATCATCTCATCATACATTAGGTTGATCAGGAGCCCAAAAACAATTCCTATGATTCCTGTAAATATCTGTGTGATCTGCAAAGAGAGAAAGAAACACTGCCTTCAGTTTCAACTCACCTTCCACAACAGAGCAGGAGGTTAGGGGCATTAAGATGCATGCCACTGCCTGCCTGTTCAGATTTTCTCTCCTCCACCCCGCAAAACTGAGAACTAATAATAATACAATATTTTAAGATAAGATATCTAACTAAAAAGGCCATTCAGCTGCAACTACAACCTTCCTGCAATCAGTGATATACAGGAGTGGAGAACCAACCATACTCCAGATGTCACTGAACTATAGCTCCCAGCATCTCTCAGCACTGGCCATTGGTTTGGATCACTATTGTTCACCAACATCTGGAGAACCTTTTTCTTTCTTGATGTTGTATTAGCTACTGGCCAATTAGCTACTGTTTCAATGGCTGGGGTAGTGTCGGGCCTAGCCCAAGGAACTCCAGGAGACCATGCAGAATCAATCCAGCAAGGTTT